GGCCCGAGAGGCGGCGCCGCAGCCAGCAGCCTGCGGGCGGAGAGAGGAAACCTGAGCGCCGAGGAGGAGCCGAGCACCCCCTCGCGGGAACCCCCCGCGCGCCGGCGGTGCCCGCCCTTCTCGCCCTCCCGCTCCTGGGGGCCCGGGCGCCGCCACCCGGACACCTGTGCAGGCGCCGGCGGGCGCGGGGGCTTCCCCCGCCCCCTCCCCGCAGGGCCTCAGCCAGCAGCCTGCGGGCGGAGAGAGGAAACCTGAGCGCCGAGGAGGAGCCGAGCACCCCCTCGCGGGAACCCCCCGCGCGCCGGCGGTGCCCGCCCTTCTCGCCCTCCCGCTCCTGGGGGCCCGGGCGCCGCCACCCGGACACCTGTGCAGGCGCCGGCGGGCGCGGGGGCTTCCCCCGCCCCCTCCCCGCAGGGCCTCAGCGAACGCCCGGGCTGGGGTTCTGAGCGTGCGGCCCCTCGCGGGTGGGTTTCTGGGGGACCCGAAGCCCCAGGCGCCCGTCCCCGCACGGCCTCCCTATGGTACACCGCAGGTACCCCCCGGGCTGCCCTCGAATATCCCACGCTGGGGCAGCTCGGAGGCTGCACACGCGGATCAAGCTCCCCAAACCCAAGGAGGCGGTCTTGGGGTTCCAGACGGTCACCCCGTGCTCCGCATATTTGGCGAAGAAGTTTGAATTTACAGTGAAAAATAAAACTTGAGATTTTCTATGGAGTGCAAAAATTCTGGAGGAAATTTTATGTTTTTTGGAAAAACCTCATCGCAAAGTATTTTCCTACCTGTGTATACGTGAAAGCTTGTGCCTTCGCCGGTCCCTCCGTCCGTGTTGTACAGTTCTTAAGATGTGAAACCTGGAAGGTTGGATATGCAACACACAAAGCAACGCTGAAACAAAGACTAAAACGAAAGAAGAGCAATGACACAGGGCAGAAGAATACCCTACTGAAACTTAGAGGGAGAGTTACATAGTAGACCTATATATACTTAGTGAAAGTGATTTTATCAGGTCCAACAATCCGGCAACCTTGACTGGCACCAGCCCAAATGTCTAACGGCAATGTGGAACATCCATCTTAAGTATGTAGTATAAAAATAAAAGACTGCTTAGCACCAATATTATCCCGTCAGAGAAAATATTTTAAATAAATGTAGTCAAAAAATAAAGAATTTTTAGAAAAAATACTATATATTCAGTACTTACACTGTGCACCCAAGTATTTCTAAGTACTTTACATATATTTCATTTACTCATCACAATAACCCAGTTTTATTTTAGGCTCTATTATTCTCATTTTACACATGAAGAAATGGAGTCTGGTCCGCTTAATTCTAAAGCCCAATGCTCTTAATAGTATAAAAAGATTCACCTGTAACCCTAAAATAATGACTAATATTCCCGAGTTTATTCTCTGCCAATAGGTACTCATATCATTAAAATGATTCTGTAGTATACCTATGTTCATAGCAGCACTATTCCCAGTAGCTGAAGAGCGGACAACCCAAAAGCTCATCTACCAATGAACAGAAAAATTATTGCATATAAATACAATGGAATATTACTCAACCATGAAAAGGAATAAAATACTGCTGCCAGGCAGATGAACCTCTGAAACATTATGCTAAAAGAAGCCAGACACGAAAGGTCACATATTGTATGATTCCATTTATATGAAATATCTGGAATAAGTTAATCCATAGAGACAGAGCACAGATTCCAGAAGGAGGAAATGGAAAGCAACTGCTTAGTGGGTACAAGTTTCTTTTTTAGGCTAATGAAAATGTTTTGGAACTAGGCAGAGGTGATGGTTGACCAGTAAAGTGAATGTATGAACTAGCCAATGAATTGTTTAGTGGTTAATTGTTTTGTGAATTTCACCTCACACAAAATTTTTAATAACATTCGGTAGTTTACAGCTGTTACCTGCTTTATACACTATATTTTCCGAGCCTCATTCGATGACAATGTAATCGAAAATCAGTTTTCATGGCTGCATATTATTCTATTGTGAGAATTACCATAATTTACATCACTAATCTCCTAGTATTGGACGTTTTTTTCTATTGTAAACAGCACTGAGATTAATATCATTGTGTCCATATTTACAGTCTTAATTTTTCCAAGAAATAGAAAACTGGAAGCAAAATTTCTTCATCAAAGAGTAAGTACATTTAAAGATTTTTGATATGTATTTCTAAACTATCTTCCTCAGTTTTCCCTATCACAAACATTGTCTGAGTGTCCACTTCCCTGCTTGCATGCATGTTAATTTGATGTCAAATAACATTTTATTTTCTTTTAAATTTTGTTGCTTTGATTTAAAAATTTATGAATTTTAAATTCCAATAAAGCCCTGTTTTATAGGCGGAAAGACTTAGAGAAGTATATATTCTTTAAAGTGGGCCAGAAGCATGAATAGCTTTAGCATATGCTTTCACCTGGAGTCACTCATTAAGTTTCAAAACATGTATTTATCCAAATGAGTACCATCTTCTTGAAAAACATTTATTAAATGTCTCTTATGTGCTAGACAATACAGAGAAAGGCACTAATTATACGGAAATAGTAAAATAAGGTTTCTGTATGATAGGGGCACAGTTTCATTATACAATAATTATAACTAAATGTGATAAATATGTAATCAGAAATGTGAGGCACAGCCCTTGAAAATAGTGATCCGAGTCTAATTTCAGTGATTGCTTTTGCTGAAAATATTTTTCAAATTGCTTTTTTGGTATTGACTTTAGAATCTACAATGAATATTTCTGCACAGTTTCTATGATAGTGAATGTTCATCTCTGGGAGACACTTTGACTTTTGAAAATAATTAAATGTTATTTGAAGCCCAGTCTGGTGAATGAATCAGGTGTTTTGTTCTTGGTATCATGATTATGTATTATGATTATGGGATTTTGGGCCACAAGTGGTACATGATTACAATGTATCAAGTTATTAAACCAATTGTATTAAGTGGCTACTTGGACAATATTGCTGTATCTGGTAGGGTGGTGACTTTCAAACTTTTGACTCAATTTAGTGGGAAATACATACCATAGTGGGAAATACATTTTACATTACAACACAGTAAACAACACACACATATACAGTTGAAACAAAGATATCACAAAACAGCACCCCCTTATCTGATGCAGTCTGCTCAGATTTTCTATTTTCTATTTTATTCCTTTGTTTAATTGCTGGGGTGACACTAAATTGATTTCATGTGCCACTAATTCATTACTCACATTTTGATAAACACTGCTCCAGGTTTCAAATTGACTATCTTTCCTGGTTACTTTGGCTCAGCTGTTTTTTAAGAAATTCAGGAAAATAATAGAACTTACTGATTTTAAATTATTTGCCTTATTATTGCCACATAAAAGAAATGGGTAGAAACTGCAAAGACTTGGAAATGCTACTATAATTCCAAAGAGTTCCTCCCATTCCAGGTTTTAGCCTGACTCTTTAAATAGCAGCTTCTGTGGTAAATTAAAGAAACATTCTAAACTGAACCTGGAGTACAATTACCAAGCTGAATGTATTTACTGATACCCACAGGTAATTATCATGATCTATGTAATTACCTTGTTCTTAAAACATGAACCATGTGCTCACTTTTGCATTGAAAAAAAAATTAGTGGTTATTTTTGTGTATTTTTAAAGCTCTGAAATTGGGTAAGTTGTAGAAGTTTAATAAGTCTCAATAATATAATAGTAATAATAATGATGATGATGATGATGATGCCTCTTGTATCCAATACATCAATATGTATTATTCTTACATATGATAATGTGAGGAAAACAAGTATGTGAAAAGACCCTGTAAACTGTCAGAATGATACTTTTGGTTATCATTTATTCATTCAATAATATATATTGAACGTCTACAATGTACCAGTAACTCTATAATACACCAGATTTGACTGATTTTTATTCAGAAATGGTCTTTTACCTGGGGAAAGTAATTATAATTCAGTAATTTCAAATTTGGCATGATAAATACTATGAATAAAATACTCTTAATAGTGCAGAGGGGTGTTTGAATTTGACCTGTGGGAAGGTATCCTGAGATGGTGGGTTTTGAAGGACATGTAGAAGTTTTCTGGATGATAAGGGAGACATACTGAAACAGGGAACAGAAAGAAACCCAAAGGCATCAAAGAGATTGGCATATCCATGAAATAATAAGTTTGATGTTAATGAAATCTGTGCTACTTTTAGGAGTGTAGCAGAAAATAAACGAGAAAGGTACAGATGCCATGCCAGTTTAAGAAGTTGATTCTATTTTAAGTCAATGCTTTAGTATGGCATAAAAGGCAATCCCATAGAGAAAAGGAATATCAGAGGCTGTTTGGCAGAGAAATGACAATCGAATTTAGCTTTCTTAAAAATAATTCTCACAACAATGGAGAGAACCAGTTAGAAATATTTTGAAATGAAGTAAAAACATTTGAGGGCTTATACTAGAGTAGAATAATAAGTATGTTAAGCTTTACATAAGTAACCTAGGTAACCTATGTGTATTAAGTGTGCAGAGCTTTACATAGGTTATCTAAGCCTTTATTCTTTCTTTTTTCTTTATATTACTTAATTTTAAACCCTATAAGCAACATGTAGCTTAGTACATACCTATTTATCAATGAGGAATCAAAGGCAGAGAAGGTAACTTGCCCAGTCACATAGCAGTCAGGGGCCTCAGGATTCCAATGCAAATCTATCTGATTTTAGAGCCCAGGTATAACTGGTATAACTATAGCTGGAGGAAGGGTTGGATGTATGAGATTTTTTTTTTTTTTTTGAGAGAAAACAGAACAAAGTAGAAGCAGAATATAGTGACAGAGAGAGAGAGCAGGATTTGGAGTTAAAATACCTGGGTTCAATTCTGTGTAACTGGAGCAAGCTATTTAAAAGCCCATAAGAGAATAATTCAAAT